AAAAAAAAAGCTAATCCATTTGTTTTTCTACTTTACTGCTCCTTCATGGCCACGGTATCTTATGCTGCAGAAAAAATAATAATAATTCTTGTCTAAGACATACTCCTCCCTCCCGATGAGCGCCCCTCGGAAATGTTCGGTAAAACGAATTTTAAAGTCACAAAGAAGGGCTCCGCGTGCTCCAGATTTCGAGTGCAGCAGATTTTTTTTATTTTTTTATCGAAAGTGCAATGTTTAAGAATTTTTTTGGCGGAGAGTTTGGTTTGATACAGCAATTCCATTGGGCGTGGGAAATTTTTGAAAAGAGCATGAAAGAAATGTTTCAACCTCTGTCGATCACTGAAAAATTGTCCGAATTACATTCGGTTTGGACAGGGTGGCTTGTTTTTTTGCGTAGAATTGATTTCTGAAATAAAAAAGTAGGGGTGCTATTTGAAAAGTTAGACTTACGGGTGGGGCAGCCCCCGCCCCGCGCCCCTCCCGCGGTTTGGGAAAATGTCAAATACGCCAAAAGGTGTCCCCCTCGATATAAATGAACACGTCTTTTACCGTTTGTCGAAATTCCGACGCGTTCGGCAGATATTCAAGGTGGCTCGTTTTTCGTGAGACACCCTGTAGATATTCTGACGAATGCTGATGGAGCATTTGAATTTTACTATCGTATCATCATATAATTCTTTCAATGGGTAATTAAAACCTTGCATCTTTTTCTTCGAAAATTACTGCTCATAATGGAAGGGGATGAGTTGTACTGCATTTTGCAATACCTAAAGAACTGCAGTTTCTGACTCATTTTAGAAACAACATATGTATCATTAGTTTCCCTATGCGCATAAGTGTTTAATTTACGGATGAGCCAGAAATTATAATAGTTCCTAATTGCAAAATGAAGTCCAGTTAGGAGTCCAGTTTTGAGCAGAACTAGACGCACACTTTTTCCTATGAAAAATTCAAAGCCTAGAAATCATAGGTAACAACGATGGAAGTCGGCAATCACATAACTCAGTTTATGACGTCGCAGACTTCCCGTCATACACCTATTTTATTTTTCAAACGGAAAACTACTCAACAGCAATTCTTTAAAACTGCCGTGATTTTTCTTCTCTGTGCGAAGAAAATTCTGCAAAAACTTCAAAGGAATGATGTCAATTTGTTCTCCTTTAAAAAAATAACATAGAGGCGGAGATTTTCAGACACCGCAAACGAGAAAGGTACCTAGGTATGTGATTGCGGACTTACGCCGTCTATAAGTATTTCAGATGTGAAAATAGGTGTCAAACTTTCTCTTCAAAACCGAGTGTTACGGATTGAAATAAAATCCAACCCAGGTTTCCTCAGTTTTAACTTTGCGTGGCGGCTTCCATCCGCCTGAACTCTGTTTTGACATTGAATACTCGGAAAGTTTAACGTCCGATGAGGTGAGCGTCCTTTCTTGCGGAATGCTCTGAATGTCAACAATCCAGTTTTTCGGCCACGATCTTCCGAATAGCACAATGCCTTGCGAGACAGCGGTCGATGTCCACTCGCGCTCGTACTTTGAGCCTGATCGACTCCGAGTAGCTGAACGGACCTCGGCCGATGCGCATTGTCTGAAACACTGGGACCTTAGAGGTTCCAAAACCAAGCACAGCGATACATCTCCCAAATAGTCCAGGCAAATAAGCCATGAAAAGGGCTATAGCCTGCAAAAATCCCGGGTAGCAATGTTTTCATCGATTCCTATGTAATTTTTGACGCTGAATCCGAATTTCAATTTTGCGCCATTAAATTCGGACCGGAAAGTTGCCAAATTTGGCAAAAATGGCCTAAAATCGGACTTTTTCCCGGATTATGGCCTGTAACTTGCCAAAAATTGATCTGACGATAAAATTAGTTATTTTCAGAAATAAAGCTCGTTAAATTTCCTATAAAAAAGTTCCTATAAACTTTTTTGCTCAAGGCAAAATCAAGCGCGCTGGCGGGCTCCAAACTTTGAAAAATGAGCGAAAATTGCGCATACTGTAATGTATTGGGTTATCCTTATTATTACGTTTTCTAAACGAAACTGTTAAAAATGTGAGCTGAATAGTTCGAGACCAGTCCATTTTGTTTAGGATTATTTGGACTGCATTTTGCAATTTGGAACTATAAATTCTTGCTCTTCTGGAAAAACACTTATGTACATAGAGAAACTAATGGCACATACGTCGTTTTTAAACCGGGCTAGAATTTATAGTTCCAAATTGCAAAATGTAGTCCATTTAATGTCCTTAATTAGGGTAATAACGGCCTTAAAGTAAGAAGAAGAAAAAATAATAATAATACCATCTTTAGGTACTTAATGCCTTCACGGAAAAAATTAAATTGCTGATTTAACAAGTTTTGTAGTTGAAAAAAGTGGCTGTAATATTTCAGTGTAGATTTTACAACCAAAAAATGCTTATTTAACAACAACAAAATGCTAGGTACTTTGGTACTTTAACAAAAAAAATGCTTCTTTAACAAACTTTGTGGTTAATTTAGCTTTCCACTATTGTAAAATGTACATTTGAAACATAGCAGTCACTTTTTTTAACAATTGAATTAATAAATCAGCAATCCATTCTTTCCATGATCATTCTTCATGCGATAAATCTTTCAGAGCCTAGAATAACATTTCTGTAGGAGAGAGGTCATTAGAATAATTGAGCCATAATAGAAGGCCAGGAAATAATTTTAGAGGCAAAAATCCAGGGCATTTTTTCAACTATAAGGTTGCAACAGCATATTGCCGAGGAAACTTCCGAACCACTCATCTCGTTTGCAGTGTTTTAAAATCTCCACTTTCATTTTATTTTTTGGAAGGAGAACAAACACACATAATTCCTTGAAGTTTTCAGAGAATTTTCTTCCTACAGAGAAAAGAAATCGCAGAAGGTTTGAAGAATTGACATGGAGCGGTTTCCCATAAAGGAGATAAAGTATGACAGAAAATCTGCAACGTTGTAAACTAAGTTCCATGGTTTGAGAGTTTCACTTTCAATAAGTTTTTCTTGTGGATGTTTGAATCATTGAAACGTAACAACACTGTAGAGTGCAACAGACATAAAGTGCCTAGAAAACTTGTCATTTACTAAAGGCAAAGCTACCTGCTTGATATTTAGCCTGAGATGTAAAGTGATGCTCCTGTGACTTTATAATTCTACTATGAAAATGAGATGAAGCAAAAGTTGAGATAACAGTAGTAAGAAGCATTTATTTAAATCATAAAGATCATGCTGATCAATAGTACATAGGACATCTTAACTCTAAAATTTACAAAGTGCGAGTAAAACTTTTACAAAAAATGGTATAAAAATGTACCAAATCTTAAGAACAATAAAACAGAAATCAAAAACAATAGACTCATGATTCACTAGGTGAACAGACACATTTCACACAGATAAAATAGTGTCCGTTGGATTGCACGAGCTAAAATCACAGATGAAATGTTACTAGGTTGAAATATTTTAACTGAGTGAACCTAAATGAGGATACAGTAAATATAGAATATTTGATCTTTTAACGGACCGATTTTCCGTCAGGAAACAGTGTTGTAAACTATTATCCTTCAGACTACAAGTCTAATGACCATCCTGGGGAACTCAGTGCATGGAGGCAATGATAGGAAGAATAAGAATGAGGGAAGAAAAACAATGACGTAGAAGGATACTAAAACACTCGTTAAATTTGGAGACCTGTAAACAAACCATTAAAAAATGCATGGTGTCCTCCAAGAGTTTCTACATGCTTGACTCTTGACAACCTAATACTTGAGCTTTAACATCATGGTAACTTCCATAAAGGTGGCTAAGATGTTAATGTCACTGTTATTCAAAACATGTAACAAAAAAGTTAAAACTAAGTAAAATACAATTTACAATAAAATCCACTATCCAATAAGTAAAGAGGTAATGACACNGGGGGGGGGGGGGGATATACATATCAAACCTTTCCTTAAATCAATGGGAACCGTTGTTCTATGAAAATGGTGATAAATAAGTTGAGGGCCAGCATTCTGCCGTCAATACCAAGAGTGCTTCAACCTAATTCTAGAATTATTTAATTTGCTTTATTCAGCACTAAAATAAAAAAATCTGATAACCTTCACGCTTGGTATTTTAAATGACAGTGAAAAATCTGATCTTTGAACTTTTCTGCACCTCAGAAATTATTCTCTTTTTTTTATGAGAAAAATGCCAAGGTATGACACTCTTGCTGTTAAAGGCAATATTTTGGCTAATACTGATGGATTGTGGGATTTGATTCAGCCTTTGGGACTTTGGAGCGGCACCTCTGACTGTGGGGGATTCATTAAAGTCCTTGCTAGCATCCAGAAAAAAATACTCTTAAATAGTGGTTTTTCGGGAGAAAATATATCATTTTGATATAAAGAGAGGTATTCACCAAAATTTCCTGTAAAAATACTGCATACGCTCTGAGCAGAACTCTCGATATGTAAGCCATGCACTTTATTCCGCCGCAACTGAGGCTTAACAATTAGCGGTGACCAGGATGGGCGGTGCAAGCGAGGAAACAGATTTAAGCCTCAATTTGAACGCAGGAGTATAAGGCGCAATGTTGAGAGTTCCACTGAGCGATCACAGCATCTTATTTACTGTTACTTTATCATGAGACAATCAGCCTTTTTTGCCTATGGAATCATTAGGAAACCCAAGGTGAAATGTTTGGAGAAACCCTTCTCTAATTGGCTTTTAGAATAACATTCACTCTCCTTAGTTTATTGGCCTCTTGTTGTAGATAGCATTGTATGGAAGTTCAGGCCAAAAGACTACAATGGTTATGTTTCGAAAAAAATAAAAGAAAAATGAAAAATTTATGTACCTCTACAGTGAAATTTACTTTACACGAAATTTGAGCGGCTGTGGGTGATATGAAGCTGAAATAGGATTGTCTCAGGTTGTTTGTACACCATTTAAATGTGATCTAATTCCTCCCATGGTTGTTCCAGAGGAGGAATGCTGAAAAGTCGTCCGATTGAGAGAAGATGTGAGAATTGCGAGGGAGGAAGCAAAAGCTTGTGTGTAAATTTTATGTTACTAATTACTAAACAATAATAGTGATGGGTCAACGCTAGTCATGAAATCCTATTGTGATCTGAACTTATTGATCGGCAAATAAAAATGAGATTAGTCCAAACAAATAGACAGAGGAAAGAAACAATGGTATGTGCTATTGGTGTGGATAAGTATTGGTCTGAGGAACGATGATATTTCCATTATTATCGGACACCCAACAGATGAACCTCAACATATATTATCGATCCGTGAGGTTTAAAAACCGAAACAAAATTCCATGACATTTCTCAAAAATTTAGCTCTTATCAAATTAAAAAAAAAAAAAATTGCAATAGTGTTTACAGATTACTTAAAAGGCATACAAAAATCATAAGTCACAACAAATGCAATGATTAAACCCATCATCACAAAAACAAATTATGATGGAAAATTGGATTATTAGGGATAAACAATTAGATGCCAACCAATTCTTTCTGGATCATTTTTTTCATATTTTCTTTATTTTAGTTCTACTGTTACCATTGATATGGACCGATTCTTGACAAAACTTTGAAAAAACTCCTGAGTATTCCAGCATGAACTGAAATAAGGAAACAGGAGCATCCAGTGGATGGAGATGAGTATGTGATTTGATTTTCACTTCAGCGGGCAAAATTGATATACTGTAGAGTTAATTTAAAATAAATGCCTGTCTGAATTTTCTTTCATCAATGCATCTTCAAAATAAGAAGATGGATAAAATAAAAGATGAAACGATTTTCCTGTCAAGAGAACCTTGAAACCAGGGAGGCCTCCACATTAAAACCATTAGATAACTATTTTGAACTAGAAATTTACATACAATTAAGGCTAAAATAGTCACCTGTATTGTTAAAGGCTTAAAATGAACTTAGAAGGAATTCTAACTGTACAACCGACAGAAATGATAAACCTACAGGAAGTACGTAGTCAACACAGAAGCGATCCAGCTGCTAGGAAGGAGGGGACAAATCTATAGTTCACATAAAAAAAATATCGTTTTTTTGTGCATTTTCCTGTTTTCTCCTCCTCCTCATTCGCTCCATTTTTCAAAAAAAAAAGGAGAGAGTAGAGTCCCATTTGCCCTTCATGTTAGTGAGTCTTCAAAACAGTGATGTGTATACCTTAATATTAAAATTAACTAAATCAACAAAAGAAATTAATCTGTTGCATGCTGGTAACTAGAAATCATGTGCTTGAAACATGTGATTTCAACTTTTTGAACCACATGATTGACTCTTTTGTAGAAGTCAGAAAACAAAAATACAAGCTTGTCTTTTGGAATTGAAAATAGAAACTACGTTTAAATTAACTACAAAGAGTAAATAATGATAATGGACACCTTCAGCAAATTAGGGGACGTCAATAAGTGACATCAGGCACTTTAGCCAATTTTTCACCCCTCCTTCCCCTCTATTTCAACGATCCTCTCCTACTCCCTCTGTTTTCAGAGAGAATGATTAAGCTGTTTTCCCCCTACATACCTATGCCTGACACCATATACGGACACCCCTCAATTGGACCGCAATATTTGATATAATTTTTTCTTGAGAGTGGATTGACAGTTGTTTGGAATTCACTATATAGTTATGGAGATAAAATTAAAAATTTTGTGACAATGGAGGTTGAAAAAAAGTCATTTCTGTTTGTGGCAAAAAAATACAAAAAAAAAACAAAGACACCTTCATGGTATGTAGTTAAACTTAATAAATTGTGACCTTAAACATAGGATGGTTAACTCGGAGGACCACAAATAATACATACTGATTTTGGCTGAAGTAACAAACAAACAGATGTAAGTTTGAGTACCTAAAATTGTTATGTTTTTTAGTTTTTTTTCTTTTTAGTAGTTCAAAGTACTTTTAAAAAGTACTTTAAATTTTTTCTCTAAAGTTCCTATTAAGGTAAAGTTTTCAACTTTCCACAGATGGCGCGGTCACATGACACATACACCTTGAGTCTCTTAATACTGAGATTTCAGTCAAATAGAGTCGTACTGTCACTGGTTCACAGAGAGATTGAATGAGGGAGTAAATTCAGTCCGGAACTAAAAATTGATGTCAATGTTTCTACCAAATTACCGTTATGTCAATTTTTGAAAAATGTCGCTTACCTCCCTAGTTAACAGAAGGCTGTGATTCGTACATTTTCAGGGATGAAAGACAGAGGTCGCATACAAAAATTTCGTTCCTCTTAGACTTCTAGGCCACATACCCATTTGGGTAACGACCGATTTTGAACTAGGTTAACTACCCGGATTTTCCCGGGGATATTGACTAGAGTTTCAGAGCACTGGGAGTTGAGCCTACAGTGCTCCATTCACATTAATTATCTTAGAAACATGCCCCGGATGCTGGAAACAGGTAAAATGTGATAAAGAGGACTAGAATGCAAGGAAACGAATGGCAGCGAAAATTTTGTCTCGCCATAGACGAGTGCCGATCTTATGTATTGAACTCTGGCCAGTAGTTGATATAATACCGGTGAGTTGAGCCCTCAAAGTGGCGGTCTAGCCAATTGGGCAGTCCGTCTAGCAAGGTCTCCTCAAATATAACATCATTGTACTTGTTGCTGTCTTGCTGTTGAAAAAAAAAAATGAATACAAATAAATTATTGACACGGACTTCAAAGAGTTAAAAAATTTAAAAAAAAAAATTAAATTTAAATTTGTACAAAAAAATTAATTTAAAAAAAAAAAAAAATAAAAAATAAAAAATCAGTTCACCTTTCTAAAAATACAGATGTAAAAGCACCATCTTAGAGGCTTTGTCACATTATGGCTGTTTCCTCAATTGACAATTTAAAAAAAAAAGAACAATGAAAAGAAATGCTGATATGCTGATATCGCACCAGAAAAACACCACGGTAAAAAGTTCTATGTACTAAAACCTGATTATTTAATGATCTTATTTATCTGGTAATCTCAGCATCAGATTAGCTCTTTCTGCAACGAAAAATCAAGTGAAGCGTACGCAGCATCCTTGGATATTCGACTTTAACCATTTTTAACACCATGTGTCACTTACCTATGCCAATTTTATTCTTAAAAAAAATATTTTTTATTGGAGGAGAAACTGATTTTTCTTTGCTAAAAATGGGGTGTCTAAAACATGCCTGCGGGGCGATTATTGAAATGATATTGACTGTATGTCGCCGCTTTGTCGTGTCGCGCCATCGACTAAGAGCCACTTAGTCGATGGCGCAACACGACAAAGCGGCGACATACAGTCGATATCATTTCAATAATCGCCTCGCAGGACTTGTGATATGCAGGGAAAACCAAGCTCACAGCTGAGTAGATTCACCAAAAAAATTTGAGTATGTATTTACCGAATCAACTTTCCATCCTGCTTCAATGTCCGAGTTCCCACTGTCAGTATCAGATTCGAATCCTAAAAATGCTCCTGATTTGCCGTTGCCAAGCTCCTTGGTCATTCTATTCAATCGCTGAGAACAGAACAAGTTGTAAGAAAATCAGGTGCAACAACCAAATTAAATAACTGTTTGTTGGGCAGGAGATATAAAACGATGGTAAAACCACCAGACCATGTATCTTGGTTTGCTCCGTTGCGGACTTCCTGCCATACTTTATTTTTTTAGTGGAAAATTGCTCACTTTCAATTCTTGAAAACTTCTGTAATTTTTCTTCCCTGTCCTAAGAGAACTTTGTGAAAACTTCAAGGAATGATACTGACTCCTTCAAAAAAATAAAATGGGAGCAGAGATTTTTAAACACCGCAAACGAAATAAGTGGTTCACCATCAAAAAATACCATTTGATGAGTAAAAACTGCATACAATTGATGTATCTAGAATTGAAAATCCTTACAAAACAGATGATATTTCGGCAGATTCCTCCATGAAAATTTCCATTGCGAGAGTTATGAAAATACTCTTTTGAGAAAATGTAATTTTGGGTGAACCCTAAAATTTTATTGATTTCTACAGTTTTTGCACCTATTAAAATGAAAGAGTGTTCATGAGGCTAGACACATGAAATACTATCTGATGCTGCATATGATAAAAAAGTCGTGTCCACGCTGGATTTTTTCATAAATGAGAAAAATGTCACTTGACTCCTGGGTGAAAATTTCCGTCCACGTATTGGGAGAATGTAATTAAGGATCCTCCCAAAAATCGTACTACGTAATTTTAATTCTGTATTGCAACATATATGAAAGAAATAGAGGACTGGTAACCATGAAATATTGCGACTAAAAAATAAGACTTCAAGACCATTCTTCTAAAATTCAGACAACGTTAAAAACAAATACCTATGTCGCAAGTCCTGTTGAAAATTAGAGAAATGTTGAGCACAAGGATGTAGAAAGTTCTTAGCTTTCCCATTTAAAAACCCCTTTTTCCTTGAAAATATCGGACTAATAACCTGATGTGTGAATATCCATAATTTTGAAAAAACAGGCAGTTTTGGCAAAATTATGCAATTTTTACCTTGATTTTGCAGAGGAAAGCAATTATGATGATAATGTGTGGCCTTCTTAAATTTGTGACCCATTTTTGGGGCCTTTCCTTTCTTTCACACAACCTATGGCCACCTGCTGTTCGTTTCATCAAGAAGTTTTTGAATCTTTGATGGAGCAACTGGAGAAAATTTTAGTCTTCACCGTAAAATTTCTACCCATTTTCCAATAAAATGTTTCTCTATTTTTCAATGCCAACAAAATAGATTGCGGAAAGTAAATCTCTCTTAGTCTTTTATGAGACTGACTACTTGAGAATTAAACTATGTGCTTCAGTTTCAATTCCATTCCAGATTTTTTTTACCTATACGAGTAGAGATTGACCTGTTATGTAGAGATTTACCTGTTCTGATTTGCCTCTTGATTCAGGGTGTTTGGCGTGATATATGCAGAAGTACTTTCGCAATCCGTTGAGCGATAAGACAGTTCCGATACAATTGTGAGGGTTTATGCTTAATGGTCGTGGCTCAAGGAGGCTCATTGATAGAATCTGCGAGAACCACTCTCGGCACGATGCTCGGTCCAGGTTGATGTAACCAAACATTAATGTTTTATTTCTGCAAACGGACAAGAATTTCAGAATAATATTTACCTAATAGAAGAAGAGGAAGAAGGAGCAGGGGAAAATAAAAAAGAAAAGAGTAAGAGCAGAAAAGAATATAAAACAATAGTGTATTTTCTTCTGAAAAGACACTACATAATTAGAAGACTTTGGTGAGACTTAGAAGTTGAATTTTTCAGAGGAATACTTACAATTCTACAAAGTTAAACATAATCATATTCTTGTTTTTTCCCCAATTAGAATACAATACTGGTAATATCCTTTTTTAGGAAATTTTTTGAAAAAATAAATAGTTACAGAAAATATATTTAGGATTCTAAAATATCTCAAATGGTAATTTTACTCTGTGCTTCTGATACAGGAATCTTCTATGCTTGGAAAACTTTGAAAAAATATACATATATCAAAACAGACAAGAGGAATTGCATTTAAAAAACAAAAAACTCATTATTTATCAAGGCGCAGGCACAAACGGCAAAGGAAAAGATTGAGTTTTGATTTAAAAAAAGGATGATTCTATTCAATGCCCTCCTCTTTTTGGGTAAGGGTGACGGAAATGATTTTAAATTAATCCTGCCTTCAAGAATCAATAGAGCTTTGTCAGACTGTTCCTTGTCTAAAGGAATATCTCAGTAACAGAAGAAGAGCACAATACTCACTTGCGATAAGGCCACACGATGCGATGAAATTGCATGATGAGTTTCTTCCGGGACTCCGTATCAACAACAAGGATGATGGTGCGACAACCAGGCTTCAGAAGTCGTATCAGTCCGTTGTACGTTTCTGCCCGCAGCTCATGAAGCTTCAGCTCACGCGTTGTTGCAGGTGGCGGCGTCGGCTTTTTCTTGGGTTCGCTATTTTGCGTGGACTTCTTTATTTCTGATTCTTCAAGATTCCTGTAAAAGGAAGCACTCTGATTCAGTTCCGCTTCAAAGATTACTTTATAAACTTCATTTGACACATGTGATTGTCCCTAAGTCCCAGCAAAATTAGCTTGACTACATTTCGTCACCTTCTGGCCTACAAATCGCAAAAAATAAATTTCTCAAACTAGTCCAATCTTTTACAGAAAAACTACCGAACAGAACAACATAAACAAAATTTGACTTATATTTATTCTGTCATTGAGATTAAGCCCTGAAATTTTTGTTAAAGTAGTAGCAAAAGTTTTAAAGATAAAGTTAAAATAATATTGAGATGTCAAGCAACATAGCGTCTAAGACTAAATGGCACTTGTGATACTTTGGCCAGAAGGTGACAATTTTATGCTGCCTAATTTTCTCTTATGTTTTGTTTTTTTTGACAGAGAACTAATAGTGCTTTCAAAGTTCCAACGAATTTATTCTAGATTATGAAAAATATCCTCACAAAATTTCAAGTTTAAGTGTTGCTTAGTTTCCTGTGAGAAAAAATAAAACAGAGAAAATTAAGCAATGACTGATGTTGTTTGCCTCAATATTGTTGAACAAATCCCGATATTCTCAAACCTCTTCAGCCTCCCAAATTCTTTACAGCAATAATTTATTTTTAAAAAATATCCATTTTTGATCGAAAAATGAGAGCAATGCATTTCTGAACTCACATAAGATGGGCCAAAAAGTAGCTGACACAAATGAGAAGGCAGATGGTGACAATGACTGTCGCCACCGGGAAGATATCTTCCTTGCCAAGGTTACTCGTCACAGCATCGAAGAAGCTGAGAATGCGCGACATCACCCTTGAGGCGAGGTTCTGAGCATGCTCATCTGTAAGCTCAGTAATGACAGCTTCGTGGAGTAAAGCTGATGCACTGTCTGAATGCAATAAACGCTCCAAAACTGGCTCCAAGCGCTCCTGGAAACAATATCAACGTAATATATTGATATTATCAAAATAAATTGAGAAAAATACTGCAGGTATGAGACTTTCCATCGTAAGAGGGACTTTAAGCAAGAGAGTCATGCAGATGTGTCCAACTGAGAAGAGGAGTAAGGGTAGGTGAAATTATGTTGATTGCAACATAATGTGTACAATCTACTCCTACAAGGACAATTTGCAAGGTCAAAATCACACATTTTTTAGTTTTAAACGACTGTAGGCACTTAGAATTATTGGTTGGATTTTGGTGGGAAATGTCTAAAAGCAGCTTGCTTTAGCATCCCTTCACTTAAACTACCCTACATGTTTAGGATAAGTTTCAAGTTGCTGAATGGGTTATCAAGAATGAATTGAAAATAGAATGAACTACCGGATAAGGTACAACATTAAGCATTCTGATACATGTCTCTCAACTATAATTTCACGTATAACAGGATTCAAGGAACGAAAATTACTGAAACTATTTCCTAACCAAGATATTCCATGTTTCTTGACGCGTGAATTCAAACCTCCCGCTCATGAAAACTCAAGGGTCTGCGCGAGTCAAATCGCACACTAAACATTACCGTGGCAAGTCATTGCGATTCGAAAATATAGTAGCCTCGATCATGACGCTTCGGCTCAGCTATAGTAAATTGATTACACTTTGAACAATAAAGGATGGAAAAGGAGCAATGCTTGATTGAGAACCCTGCCGAAACTCTTGTAAGGCGCGATTCAACTCACGTAGGGTATTGAGTTTCTTGGGACCCGGCAATTCAAATTTCCCCTGGTCAACGTACAATAAAAACGTTAATATCTTAGTCAGGAATTCATTTCAGTAATTTTCGATGAGAGAATCATGTTCTATATGAAATTCAGAGACATGTAACAGAGTGCTTAAAGTCGTACCTTGTCTAGTGGTCCATTATACTTACTTTTGTAGTGTTGTAGTCAGTCGAGTATGAGTCTCCACCAAGTATCCACTCATATTTGATATGTTTGTTATCCCTCCTCCAGAGAACAGCTATGTGGAGTAAGGGCTCGTCTGGACTCCCTTCACCTGGAAAATTAAGGTAGGGAGGGAAAAAATACAATGATGTGTGGAAACAAACATAGGTTGGATTGGGCACTTAAAAATTGGTACAAAGGCAGGAAAAAGCAAGGGTGCAGAATCAGTTGAACCTTCCTAAAACGAGGATCAAATTAGTATACATAGAAAAAAGAATAACCTGGGTAGATGTCTGACTGTTTCAAGTTCTTGACTCTATTTCAAATTTTTGGGAATATTTCTTTCTTTTTTCATCATTTGTTTCAGAACTTTGGAAGCTCCTGCAGGCTGATTATTGAAATGAAATGAACTCTATGTTGTCGTGTCGCACAGTCGACTTAGAGGAAAGCGTAATTTTTGAAATCTATGCCTTGTCGGTTCATAGACAGGGAGGCGACATAGCGTCTACAAGCTAAACGCACCTCCAGAGCATCCGACATGGGCTTGGTTGATAAATAACCTCAAATTATTTTCACACAATTCAGTAAAAAATGAATTTATGAAGTGAAGAAGTGCAACTTTTTATTTGAGTTTCGTCCCAACAAATTCAGACGCGTTTGTATAGTCCACATTGCGCAGTGCCGAGTATCCGATCGTTCGATCCGATGACCAACCATATGTTAGCCAGGTCTGCGGTCAACAGGTTGTTTACAACCAAATCTACTTCATCAATTCATCAAAAAGCGGATGAGTAAAAATGGCGGACTGACGTCATTTACTTGGCCTTGCTACATTTTGATTGGTTGAGAGACATTTAAAAATTTGGTAACTACACAAACGACAACGGCAGCGACGCCGCTTTGTTGTGCCTTCTTGATTAGACTATATGTCTTGTCTACATTTCTCTGAATCCTTAATACAGATTTGGATTCATTCTTCCGCAGTCAACTTTCATTTTTATTGACTCCATAGATTGGACCAAAAAAAAAAAAACAGCCCTCAATGCATTTTTTGTAACTGCTGATATTGATTTTTTTTTTGACATTACATTCAAAAACACTTGAATTTTTTCCGGGTTCGATGATTTTATTATTTGACAGAACTCACCTGAAGTAAGTGCATTGATGAACTGAGATTGCCGCTCTTGAAATACATACATAAAGGACACTTTGTCGTGCGGATAGCGAGATTCCTGCGCAAAACGCCGCAGTGACTGCCGGTGCGGATCGTGGTACGGAGTGTTCCCACTCACTAACAGGACACACAGTTTCTTGATTCTAGTGGCACTCGTCCAATCTACAGGACAGAGTGTGTCCAACATTGCCTGAATTGAATAAAAAAAAAAAAAAAAAACCAGTGAGACAAAAGATATTGAGTAGATCTCAATATGACAAAAGATCACGCATTATGCCAGTTCAGAAGTGAAAAATTTAGATGTAATTTTAAATAAAAAATTGTATGACCACATGAAGGATTCTTTCTGTCTCCATAGAAATAGGATTATATTCTATACCCCACAAAAGTAACGATATAAGTGGTTTTCTGTTATAAACGTTTGTCATGATTTGTTGTTTCTACTATACTTCCAAAAATTACAACAACAAACTGGTTTACTAAAATGAAACCAACCAACTAATTTTACCAAAAATATTAAGACTGATGTTTATTTAACTGATTATATTCAACATTTTTCTCTAGTGGACAACTACATAAGGTATGAATGGAAGCACAACGTAACATATTTTCTCTTCAAAACTTAGCAAGGAAAGAGCAGGAAATCTAGAGATCAACTCCTAGAAAAGATATTAACAACAACAGCAACAGATTGGATTCAGCTGCATTTGCAATTAACATTGGTTCAAAGGCAGAAATAGAAGTGACATCATGTGAATGATCTAACTTCTATTTGATCTGTGTCAAGAATAATTGTTAATATCTTGTTTATGAGTTAATTTCCGAACTTCTTCTTGTGTGAATCATTTTACACGTTAGAATTTAATGCGGAACCATGCAACTTTTTATCTAGTTCAGACTTTATCTAGTAACTTATTAAGTGCAACAAGTGATAGAAGGCAAATAAACATCTTAGAAACTATTCAAATGTACAAGAACAGAGAGAAGTTGGTAAAGGATTTGGAATGTTTGCAAAACTGTCTGCCCATAGCGATAGATGGCAGCCCTGAAAGAAAGATAAGAATAACGGAGATGTGTGGAATAATGACAAAAAACAGCCAGTCGGAATTCAACCTTGAAGAAGGGGCTGGGGAGCCCCGCAAAGCGTCAGTAGTTTCATTTTATTTCTTGTGAGTTTGAGTTTTTCAATTCTAGTTTTCTTTATTTCTTTATGCCGTTAAGTGCATTGAAATCTATCTAGTTCAGGACACAGGCACCAAGTCAATCAACTAAAGTTAAGTTTGAATTTGATGTCGTTATTTCAATCTTGTATTTTCCCTTGTAAAAATATAATTCTCCTGCTGAGGAAGCTGTGCTTGATGGCAGGACTACATGTCACATAATTTCTCTTCTTCATGTATTGTATATTTTTTTAACAATAAATGAAAATACCTGAGAGGACAGCCTGGGCAACAGTAGGAGTTTGTTGGCATCTATGACATCACGCATAGTAGCTACGGGAATTTCGATCATGCTCAGACTTGCCATTGGTCGGTCAGTGTTCTCGTTAAACAAAAGCAGCGTGTCCTTGTCCGTCGCTACTTGGAATCTTTCTTGCACTTCTTTTGTGTTTTCATTTTGAATAGAAACGAATCTGCGCAAAATAAAGGATTCACACTTGACACGTGAAAAAATACAATATCTAAAAATTTAAAATGTAAAATTCTTAAAATCGTGAACACAAGAGTTTTTTGTCAGACGGACGCGTTTCACAGAGCCTTGCTTCGCATCTTACTGGAAAATAATTTATGGGTACTCAAGTGTTTTAAAAAATTTTATCATTGGAATCTTGCCCATTAAGTGTGCAGTGTTTTAAACTTCCTATTCAGTTCATCCTGTAAAGTGTTGACACACCACAGCATGAGAAAATTTTGCAACTTTTACAGGCTTTTCTTAACTATAAGACAAAAATTTTCTTCATTTACTAAATGAATTATTCACTACTATACTTTAAAACTCCAACCAATTATCGTAAAAAGCAAATGATTCAACCTGATCAAAGAATGAGGAAAATAATTTACCCAAAAGCAACCCTGTCTCGGTGATAGTAAGCTTGGAGCAGATAACGCAGGCGAATTGTTGCTTGGCGGTGGAAGAGAAGTGCTCGAACCCGATTGTCAGCAGCCCATTCACCCAGAAACTGGTTGACATTGTCGTCAGTTATCGTTTCACTCAGTTTGTAAGGCATCTTCATTCTGACAAATTCTACAAAAATAAAATTTATCTTCCTTAATTTATGGATCTATGAATTCAACACGTAGAGTAGGGTTTTTCTATGACCAAGAAGTTTTAATTTATGCATTAAAAATCGTTAATATCTTGGTAACGAAATATTTTTCATAATTTTTGTTGTACATGATGTGCTCTACATACACACAATTTTAATGAGAAAACATACATTAGGTATAATGATTTATTTGGACCGCAATAGAAAGGAATCACAAAAGTGTATAACGACCTGAAGATGAGCTGAAAGGCTCAAGATAGCTATTGTCTTCAAACAAACACCAACCTCTTCACGGATTGGGCCACAACAAAAAAGAAAAAATTAGTGAATCAATGTGAAACTCGAGGAAATGTAAAAACCATTCAACCTGATATCTAAGATTTTTATCAATCAGTAATTAAAGTATTCAGATAAAAGGTAAGAGACCAAAGAATTGTAGTGTCTCACCGATGACTTTCTGAACGCTGTACAATGATTCTCGGAACACACTAGTTCTTCCATCGATGAGTAGGACAAGACTAGGTAGTGAACGAATTCCAATTCTTCGAGCAAGCATTTGTTCGTTTTCCGCATGGACTGTTGCCACGCCAACACCTGAGATTAAGAAAAAATGTATTGCTATGTTAATTAGGAGACACACACCATTAAAATATATTAATTAGGAGAGCTTCGGATATGCTGCGCAAACTTGAATGTAATTGAGAATCATCCAAATTTTCATTTTTGCTGAGAAAAAAGTTGTCAAGTCAGCTATATGCTGAGGCATCACGTTTTTGTGGTTGACATAATTTTTAAGCCTTCCTAATATGATCGTATCTCATCTCATTCCGGAGACGGATAATGTTTTGTGCTACTTGTTACTTTTAGTTTTGGAGTTTTCAAAACGATGGAGCGGATAGACAGTGTTTCTCATTAATTGTCTGGTGAGCAACATGCTGTAAGTTGTGCGTGTTGCTTCACAGACCAGATAAATAATTAAATGGGAACAAAAAATTGTATTTCAAAACGTACCAAGAGGCTCGAGTTCTTCAATTACTTTCCGCCAAATAGGCTCAATCTGCAGACATGAAAAACACCAATCGGAGTAGAACAACATAAGATACGGTATGTGAGTACTCTTAGGAACCATCTTATTTTCGTAAATCCTGAAAAAAAAAAATCATATGAATACCCAGACCATGATAATAATGGCACCCCAATGACTAAAGTACCATTTTAATCCATCACAATATTGTTTACTCAAATAATTATTGGACATACAAACATACTAACACCACAGAGGTTAGTCAACAGTATGAGAGGGCATGCAATCGGAAATTATTTTATAATAAAAAGCGTGAGAAAATTAGTTATCCTTTAAATGTCACCTAAAAAATTAGATGGTATGCATGTAACATCAATTTCCTACACCATTCTGTCAGAAGGAGCAGAGTGGCAGGAGTCAAGATAGAACTGAGAAGAGTATCAATCAGTTATACCAGACAATCCTGTTGATTTATGAGATATTTGTCAAAGCAGATGATCTGCGTTTGAATGGGCCTGTTGCATGCAAGAGATACAGTCGTGCGAATGGACTTAATAGAGGTTAGATGACACAAAAATTACGATGGTCACATTAAAAAAGTCTGAAATACACTCCTCACTGCGCAATTTGCGTTGTTAGGAACACGCTATTTCAAATTTCTCGCATCTGGGGGCAGTTTTCTAATGGAAACAATTAACGGCAACTTGCGGCTATTTCCAGTCAACTAAAACTGACAACATAACCTAAAAATCGGAGCTCGTGATATTGTGAAATGAAATGTAGAAGGATTGCGTTGGATATTTAAAAGTTGATTGATTTGGTTACCGCATAAAGCATATATGAACCACTATAAGAGATCACCTTGGGCTTGTAAACAAACTGAAGGAAAAAATGACAACAACGACTCGGCATCTTTCGGAAATCACCGAGCCCGCCGTTTGCTCCTTTCCGGTGATTAGAAAACTGCCCCAGACGCGAGAAATTTGAAAAAGCGCCTTCCTGACAACGCAAATTGCGCAGTAAGGAGTGTATTTCAGACTTTTTTAATGTGACCATCGTAATTTTCGTGTCATTTAACCTCTAAAAAGTCTGTTCGCGTGGCTGTACCTCTTGCATGCAACAGGCCCATTTTAAAATTCATTGGATCACATCTTGCATTACCTCACACAGCTAAAGATAAAGCACAAAAAGATAGATCTTACTTAGAGCTGATGGTTAATTTGTGGAAAACAGTGATGTCTCTGTCCTGGAACTTGAAACTAAAACCTGAGCCAGCAAAGAAATCGGCATCAAATCTTTGCGTTCTGCCATCATCGCGCTGGGGCTGCTCCTCAGTCGTTCCGAATACGTCAAATTGCTGTCTGCGTTCTGGATCTGAGAGTAACTGGAAGTGAAAAATAAAGTAAGTAGCAAATGGGTTAATTCAATAAAAAAAAAGTAATAACTGAATAAATTACTTGTATCACACGCAGTCTTGTTCATTTTGCATTTTAATAATGAAACTAAGTAAGAGATTTTGTTTGAAAAGGCCTTAGGAAAGATAAATTCATGTCTTTTGGGAAAAACACTGCTCAATATGAAACATATGATGGGAGAGACTAAAAGATGTCTCAAAAAATTGTACTTCTTCATTCAACGTCCCAGGTATTTTTTGGGTTTTTTTTTTTTTTTTTTTTTTTTTTTTTTAAGCCTTGGTTGCCCATTTTCTTGTGTTTTGTTTCCTTGAATTATACAGGCTATATTTGTGTATTATTTTTATTTATAGTTAGCAGTCCATACACAATTTTTCAGAAGACCTTGGTCAGTATCATGCAAACACACCATTAGGACCGAGTTTACTAGAAACACAATAAGTCACATTTTAGAAAAAAATGAGTTGAAAGTAGTTTTGAGTTCAACTACCGGTAAACTCTCGCCTATTAAAAATTTGAAGTCCAGAAAAAATATTTTAGGGGAAGACGGGGTAATAAGAGAGTGGGACAATAAGGTAGATTGGATTTTGCCGCTCTTTGGTGAGTGATAACAGAACTACCGCCGTGGGGAACGAATCTTGGTCCATTGCCGCGTTTTGTATTTAATTCCGGGCCGAATCGGAAAAGTGGCTGGGACAGGACCAGCGTGTAAACATAACCTCTTTTTGAACTGGGTTTCGAAGTTCGGGTACCTCGGCGCTTTAATCAACATAAAGTCAAGTAAACATATTCATAAAAAATCGAACTATATATCATTTTGTAGCTTAGGATATGGGGCTTCTTCCTGATACTTGGTTTTTTAGATTAGTTTTTTTTTTACTGATTTATAATGCTCTACTCTTATTGGCCCCAAGCGGTGACCCCTGTGGCTAATAAGAGAGTGAGGTTATGTCAGGGAGGGGTACAATAGTAGAATGAACACTAAAACTGTTGGTGATTTTCTTTTTTTAGATTAAATGACTCGAAACCGAAAAAAGAAGGGCCTAGGGGTGCCTTACACTAAAGAGAATTGGCAGGCACACAGGGGCAGGGGGATTGGGGATTTTTTTTTGGGTATGGTTTTGATACAATTTCTAAAACTTGCATTTTGAATTCATTTCTTAAACTTAGCGATTTTCAAGTGTCAAAAGTTCATAACTCAAGAACTATTAGTCCGATCTCACTCAAATTTTGCAGGGCTATTAAGAGTAATGTAATGCTTGATCTTATATACTTTTCCGTGCTTACAATTAAAATTTCATACGAGATACAGACCTGCTCTACTATTACCCCAGGGGGTACAATAAGAGAAAATTTTTTTTAAAAATATTTACATTTTTTTTTTCGCTAAAATAAAGCACGAAAAACATTGAAACTTTGAGGAAGTGTTACTTACTGATAGGTGCATATGCCCTATTTTTTTCAAATTTGTAACTCAAATACAACTCTTCAAATAAGGGTGTCACTCTCTTATTACCCCATGGTCTCTCTTATTACCCCGTCTTCCCCTAGAGGAGAAAATAGTCCAAGAACTTTGTCCTTAATGTTGAATTTTAGAAAGACCTAAGACTTCGAACCTCTCTTCTTCCGTTCCAATTTAATGCGGCTGAGTGTATTTCTCTTAAACTTGGCCAATTATTCTGCCTTAAACAGGATTCAAAAAAATAATACAATGAAGTAGGTAAATAGATTCTGGTTTAAATAATGGTAAATAATGCATAAATCAATTGCTGCTCTTTCAAGAGGCTCTTTCCTAAAATGTTCATAGCATTTCAACTTTTGAAAAACTTTAGTTGTAATTTAAAAGATAAGGGAACTTACCTCGTACGCCTGTTTGATTTCAACAAATTTTTCTTCGGCTTCCGGATCTTTGTTTTTGTCTGGATGCCTAAAACAAGACAGTAATATAATTATCATTGTTATGGAATATGAAAGGGTGTAGATCGGGTTAAAAGGCACACGCATCATGAGTGAACTGCCAACACCAAAGGTAGAGTTTGTATCATAACCTGATTCGACTATAAGCCGAGACAACAAGCATGTGGCCGCCCCTGTTATGATTCCAATTCAAAACAATACATACTAACTAAGATTGGAACTACAGTGTTAAGCATGAGAACAGTCACTTTCCACTAGACTCCCTTGGTGCTTACTTTACGATTAGATGGTTGCAAATTGTGCCATTCTAGGAAAGAATGACAAAATGATAGCTTGCAAAGTAGGCCAGGTACTCTGGATGGAAACGTCAAAAATGTTATACATCAAGTGGCATAATCACTAACCCCGTCTCCTAGGACACTGACTAAGGAATTAAATAAGGAACTGCTGCGGTGTTTAAGTTTTGAGTTGGACATGTAGTTGAAGATCTTGGATTCGACGTCTGCAACTCACACCAACTTCAACTCTCCATTCATCGGGGCACAATGAGATCGTATAATGAAAACATAAATCTCAGGGGGTGCCAAAGGAACTCTGCCCATATAATGAACCAAAACTTTGGGAAGTCTGACGACTTCAGTGATAAAGTTACGGCACGGTGTAAGTTTATACACTTGCATGTACTTACTTACTGATGATAAGAAATGGAAAACAAGAGATGCACGAAGAATAATTGTGAGAGCTTACCATTCTTTGGCCAGTTGTTTGTAGGCTCTTTTGATTTCCTGAGGTGTTGATGTCCTCGGCACGTTCAAAATTTGATACGGATCACCCAAACTTTTAACACACGTGAAAACTAAGGCAAACACAGACAAACTTCGCCATAGCATTTCTACGGATGAGACTTCTTAGTTCCAGTCACAGAAAGTACAACAATAACAGAACCGAAAAACTTTACGTTCTCAATTGATCAATGAGCTGCATCAGAGACTAGTTTTCGATGAAATTTAATCAATTTTTCAGAAAAATACGAGAGGAGATAAAATTTTTGTAAATAATCAGGTTATGCAACTGTAAACACAAAATGTCGATACATGAGGTTAAATTGGATAATTTATTGGATTATCTGGCATACTTATTTCCCAATATAATGATCCTTTAAAGAGAGCTTAAGAAGTAATCAGGAATTTTAATTAAAATTATCAGATATACGAATTTCAAAAAATCTTAGTACTATCTTTTTTTTTGAAGTTCCCTCCATTTGACTTCCGAATAATTTTTGTCTTATTTGTCTGACAAACTGCTTTATACTGCATAAGCTGTGTTGTCACGTTGTTCTGAATAATTCAAATAATGCGGAATGCGGATACCATGTAAGACCATATCAGGAGAGAAGAGGGGTGTACTGCCCCCCCCCCCTCCTTCAAACAATTGCTATAACAATATCTTCGCACATTTGAAAGGAAGAGAAATACCCTTTCGACAAAAACGAAAAAATATGTTTAAAAAAATGAAAAACACTCTCCTATAACATTAAATTTACTTACATAGTTCGGATTCTAAATTTTCCGGTATGAAAGTGTGTAGGATCCTTTTTCTGTCTTTCTAGCCCCCGGATTATCGTTTTGCATAGTTCATATTCTCTTGATATATCCCGTACCACTTGTTTATTTTTATAATCTTCGTATAAAAACCACCCATTTGCTAAATACAATTCTAGCTGGAGCGCACTTCAGCTATGCATTCTCCACTGCAAAAATGTCAAAGGAAATCGACAAGCCCAGCGTGCATGGAGGCTTTTTTCCATTTTAATCTTCCGTCACATTCTTACGGCGCAATGATACAACTATTTGGACGCTCCGGAATGCGTGAGGTATCACGCCACAATTGAAGGCGTTTTCAAATCAGCCAAGTTCCGATACCCGGATTATCGTTTTGCATAGTTCATATTCTCTTGATATATTCCGTACCACTTGTTTATTTTTAATCCTGGTATAAAAACCACCCATTTGCTAAATACAATTCTAGCTGGAGCGCACTTCAGCTATGCATTCACGACTGCTAAAACGTCAAAGGAAATCGACAAGCCCAGCGTGCATGGAGGCTTTTTTCCATTTTAATCTTCCGTCACATTCTTACGGCACAATGATACAACTATTTGAACTCTCCGGAATGCGTGAGGTATCACGCCGCAATTGAAGGCGTTTTGACGGTTGACTGGTTTAAGAGTCAAGGCGAAAGCTTCTATACGCGGAGGGCATGAAGGAGCTGCTGTAATGATAAGTACCAGAAATGTCAAAAAAGATGTGGAGACTACGTCAAAAAGTAAGGTAAGGCCTACTCAATGAAAACTTTAAAATTCCTTGTTGACGTGACGTATAGAGGCGATAACCCGAGTCTTCAATAATCGACTCTCCGTGCATCCTGACCCCGGAGGTGGGCACGCGGCGACAGGCTAGGTTGTCTCTGTAAAATTAAGTTTACTTGCGAATCCTTCGACCGATTTTCAAAAACTTGAGCTTGTTTTAAAGCTTAGAGTATGCCTGATATGTGCTTTTTTACTGATTTGATATATCTCGTTTTGCTCGGAAGATACAAGGTAGGGAACCTTACTTTTAGGATGACCCTCGAACAATTCTAGCTGGAGCGCAGTTCAGCTATACATTCACGACTGCTAAAATGTCAAAGGAAATCGACAAGCCCAGCGTATGCATGGAGGCTTTTTTCCATTTTAATCTTCCGTCACATTCTTACGGCGCAATGATACAACTATTTGAACTCTCCGGAATGCGTGAGGTATCACGCCGCAATTGAAGGCGTTTCCAAATCAGCCAAGTTCCGATACCGGGATTAATTCTAGGGATGTAAAGGACGGGAGTCATTCGAACTTAAAGTCGCAACTGGATACTGAATAAAAAGGAAATGGTAATTATTTCTCTCATCCTCTAATGCACATTTGCAATGCAAAATATACAAATGGATGTTAGGAATTGGTGCCCCCCCCCCCCCATACTTTAGAGTATCAATATTGGAAAAATTGTCCATGTTATTACTGAGGTACGAAGTAAATCAAATTATGAAATTTGACAGTTTTTGTGAGACGTCAATACGTGGCTGAAGTAGTCGAAGGGTAGGGATTCGATCGCCATGAATCGATCGAAAAATGAAAACGTGAATCGATCGACACCGCTTCGATCGACAAATCCGTGAGTCGATCGACAAGCCTGTGGATCGATTTAATTTTGTCGACGGAGTCGGTGTCGATTGATTCACGTCGATCGACTCACGTTTTTATTTTTCGATCCATGTCGATCGATTCGACACTGTGTTTTTAATAATATGTCGACCGAATCGGTGTCGAATCGAACGATTCTTGTCGATTCGAACTAGGTATACCCTCCAAAAAAGTCTGAGAACCGTAATTTACACATGCAGGAATCATCTAAAAAGTACTATTTTCATAACGTTGAATTTGGCAACGTGGTAACCTGGTGGCAACTCTTGTCGTCAGATCACCGCGCTCTCTATTACCAATTTATAGAACTAATGGGCAGTGAGCGAGAAAGATTGGAAAGGCTATTGACATCTAATTGACATCACAAACTTGTTGAAACCTGTCGTTGTTCTCCAATTCCATTGTGCTGTGCAGTGTGCTCCCTTTGTGTCTGTGCTTAATTTTTTACTTATCAATTCCTTATCAAAACCTATGGTGAGTTTCTGCTCAAATTTAAGCAATTCCAGTTTACGAAGTGCCATTGGTTAACTCCAATCCATGTCCTGAACTCTGTTCTGCTTCCTTCAGGGACCTCTGCTCTTGGGTCTAGCTCTTTTTAGTTCAACCCTAAGTAAGTTGTCTATGAAATAATTCCTCTTCCCATTTCCTCACAACCACTCATGGTTATTGAATCTATATATCCAGCTCAACCGTCCATAACAGTAGAATCCTTGATGTGCCTAGGCTTGTCCAGGAAGAGGCAGAGCTCCAAATGACCCTTGAGCCCTTCTCTCGGAAGTCTTTGACGGTGAATCAAATTAAATCCATAGGTCCTCCCGCCAAGCACTCACTATGAAGCTGTCACTAAATATGGTCCACTTCACCATCACCTAATAAGCTTGAAGCCCTTATCGGTAGTCTATAATGTTGATGATGTAGCTACGAATGACCTCACTTCATGGAAGCGCAACTGCTATTCTAAAGTCAAGTAGTTTATGAAGGAGACTAGCATTCAGTTGGAGTATTTTTTTTTTCAGTTTACTTGGAAGAAAAACTCATTTTTTATTGTTGACGCCAACTGGTACTGTAGCACCTAGCCTAATGCTCAAGTAATGCCATGTACTTAGGTAGTATCGCTTCAGTACGAGGAAGAAATGAGCGAAGCTATTGCTCCAAGCTGTTGTGACATAAGGACTGCTTATTAGTAGCATTGTCTGTGGTCTTAATCATACCATAGTTTAGTGACGGTTCTGTTTAACCCCAATAGACTTAGCCTTGGAACTCTCCTTTCTTCAGTCCATACCCTTGTTTGGATGGATTTGCCAAACCCTGTAAGTCAACAATTTTTAGAGCTGGTTATCTGATTTCTGCCTCCTGATCACTGATTTCACCCCAAGTGAATAGGTCATCTCAAATGGGTCAGTTGTGCTAGTCACAGAATTGATTTTTGATGCTTGATTCTTGTCGATTGTCGAAAAATAGTACAATCTGTCCAAACCGCAACTTTCTACGTTCAATATGAATCAAGATATCGCCCTTTGCGTAGTCAGGTTTTTGACGTCATCCTTTTTGGCAGTGATACCCTTGGTTTCTTTCTCTTTTGTTCGATCAATGATGCTGAGGGTGCCTCGACATTAAATGTAAACAAACTCAAGAAATAGACGGATTCGCACTCTGAAGACCCCCTTATCAGGAGATAACAACGCATACGCCGGGAAGAGATTAGGCGGTCTGTCAGTTCACCTCAGTTTGTTAATGGTTAACCTCGCTGAAGTTTCGTGTTGCACCCTCAGAATCACTGATCGAACAAAAGAGGAAGAAAGTAAGGGTGTCACTGCAGCAGTGGATGACGTCAAAAAACCTGACTTTTCAAAGGGCAATAACTTGGTTAATATTGAATGTAAAAAGTTGTCGTTTGGACAGATCGTGTTATTTTTCCCTAATCTGCAAGAATCAAGCATCAAAACACAACTCTGTGACCAGCGCAGCTGACTCATTAGACTCAATTGAAGAGAACTCATCCTCTCATGATCAAATATTGCAGCCTTCCTCAAGGTTTTGTCCGGTATAAAATGCCCTGTTGACTGATACTTGCAGTCAGTAAGTATCCTAAATTTAGACATATAGTATAATCTTGATGGTGCATTTGATTCTTTCAATGATTCAATAGGTAAGCAACCTAAATTGCATGTAGCGCCAGAAAATTCGAGGAATCAGCAGCGTCCATCGCAGAGTGGGTGCAAGGCATACTTAGAAAATTTTGGGTGGCACCTTGTACTACATGCAACCATGACCTTAACTTCGTACTATTCTCTATTCCATCAAGGCCCAGTAGTTGTCTGATAGCCAATGCAAGGTTGTATCAACAACTGTGATCTTTCTGTTTAATTTGGGTCTAAATTGGAATGCCTGCTACTATGTTTGACTGCTGATTGATCAAATGAAATGTTCTGATTGCTTTCATTTAAGAATTTTCAAGAAGTATTGGTCAATAAGAATCCTACTGTATGGTTTGAAATCAGAAAAGAGTTGATCGACAGATGCAGCGGCTGTTTAAGTAATTTGCATATCGACGGTGTAGGTCTGCAATCACATAACTCGGTTTGCGACGTCGCAGACTTCCTGTCATACTTTATTTTTCAAACGGAAAACTACTCAACAGCAATTCTTTAAAACTGCCGTGATTTTTCTTCTCTGTGCGAAGAAAATTCTGCGTAAAATTCAAAGAATGATGTCAGTTTGTGCTCCCTTAAAAAAATAACATAGAGGCGGAGATTTTCAGACACCGCGAACGAGTTATGTGATTGTTGACTTACACCTTCGATATGAAACATACATCATGGAATCTCAATTCAGTAATCTGAAGTGGGTATACTATGTGTAAGGGAACTGAAGTTACATTGTTACCTTCTTATCATTACTTCCTGTTTTTTTCTGTCTTTAGATATTTCACATCAATCAACATGGTAAACCAGTCGATCGAGAAAAACATTCTAGAATTGAAAATGGGAACCCACCATCTGGAGGATCTCATCCAACGACTTCATGCAAATAATGTCTTGGACACAGAGACTGTTAATTCACTTGTAAGTAGCATTCATTTGATGTGCTGAACAGGTTCTATTTTGTGTGGTGCCGATCCATTTTTTCTGCCGTCTGGATAGCACTGGATGTTCTTCCTTTATTAGCTTTTCTGTCATATTTCCAATTTTTTCTAAATTTAACCTGTTATTTTGACCACTCTAATTTTTAATGAATCTTTCCCCTGGTTACCATGAAAAATTAATTTGGGATTAACTAACAGTGAGTACAGTTCAGGTACAGGGGTGCAGAAAGTTCTGTTCGGCTGATTGCGGAAGGAAACAGTGTTTTTTTTTTTTTTTTTTTTTTTTTTTTTTTTACCAATTTCAAGTAGCCTATTGGCTAATCCCACGCTTATTACCCCAGCCCCAGGTGACCATTGCCTGAGACCATCGAACTCAGATCACCTGTCCGGGAATCAATGCCGGGACCTCTTGGTCATTGGGCCAGCGCTACAACCACTAAACCACAGGAGGCCGATTGTAATTGGCTCTCTTAGGCGGAAAAAAAGGAAGTAAGTCTAAGCCTGGAAGTCTTCTGTGGACAGCAATATGAAGGCAACCTCAATAAAAAGGAAAGCTGGCTCCAAAAATGTGAAAGCAAAGAACTTTCCGCACTCCTGTTTAGGTACAACGTTCGCATGATGTATTAAAAAAAACGTATTGAACTGATTCATTAGCTTAGCACCCAGTTTGACCCAAGGAGACACCTTAATTTTGGTAGATTTAACTATCGAAAATTTCTACATGAAATTGCTCACTGTAATCTACGTGAAATTTGGGTGCGGAATCATCCCTGTCGACTGATCAATTTTTTAAATTTATGCGATCTAGCAAATGAGACCAGCATAGGTTTTGGCACTGAAGTAAATAAGTAAACTGGATCATAATCGTAGAATGAACCTCTTGTTCCTAGACTGTGTCTTTTTCTCATTTACATTCAGATAGATTCCTTTTTTTAATTTCCATTTTCCCCTCACTTTCAATACTTGTCGCTATCATAGTTTTATCTTAACTTTTCAGGCTGCAGCAAGAGATGACGAGTGTAAGATCGATCAGCTTTACGAGCATTTGCTGCTCACACCAGATGATATGACTCCATTAATTTTCACAAGTTTTGCGGAAACCCGTAACAGTCATCTTCAGGCCATTGTCGAAGCACATGAAACAGTCGAATTAGTTGGTGACCTACCTGTTCATTACCATGAGACGGACAAAGATGCAAGGTATTATCTAGGAAAATCATAATGAATTTCTAAATCAATTATTTTTTTCGTATATTCACGATTACTCTGCCAATGGTGTACCATGAATTACTTGAGTTTTGTTGTAAATCATTGCAAAAACAGTACTTACCGGTGATGATAAAAATTCCTAATTTTTCCATTTTAAAACCCCTCTAACCCCAAAATTTTTGTCGGTCAAACCATCCAGCGAAGTTTCCATCCTATTTTCAAATCCTGCTTTTGCAACCTCCCCATTTTTGCAGTCAAGAAGTCTCTGCCTCCCTTTTGCTTATCACTGTCACTCACCAGAGGCATCAATTTTAACTGTTCAAAAGAATCTATAAGCGGCCCAATTGAAGAACTTTTTTGCAAGAAGTCATAAAACAGTTTTCCCCAGCTCAAGTTTGGGCATCCTTTGAATCACAATTTGAATTTTGTAGTGTGCAAAAAATGCTGATGAAATTCATCAAAACTTGCGAATTGCATTTTCGCATGCACTGAATGGCACAGCACATATGCTGAAACAATTCGAACAAGCTGCTCTGCAATCCAAGTTGGCTTCTATGCACTGTTTTGCAAAGGTGCGCAAGTTGATCTATTTGTGCACTCCTTCAAGGAGGCGTCTATACAGGTGCGCGATGCAATGGCTTGTTCGCCAAATTTCTTTAACGCAAGTGGAAACAACTGACAGCTGGCAGAAACAATCCGCACTGTGCCGAGGAGCTGTCTTCACTTGCGCACATTTAGAGCATGAGTGGTTTGGTGCAGGGGAATTCACAAATTTAAGTGTGACATTAGCTTGTGCTGTTTTGATTGTATACAGTATTTTAACTGCTAGGCAACCAGCTATGATCAAGTTTTTCTGTTTCAGGAAAGCGTTCCATCATAACAAGAAAAACAAGAAGAACATTGACACTGTAGACTCCTCTCCAATGCTGAAGGCCTCCAGCACCGTCCGGTTAGCCAGAGAGCGACTAGATTTAAATCCACCACGCCCTTGGCAGGTCAGTTTTTTCCCCCATGAGTTTGCTAAGAAATTTTAATTTTTGCATTTTTCAAAAGTAGAGAATGCACTTACTTAGCTCACAGGAATTTTCCTGGATTATTTCGAATGATACTTATTGGATCGTGCTTTAACGAATGGATCCTCTGGCCCCTTCAAGGAAGTTAATTCGAATTAGTGGATTCCGCTATTTGATGGATCAATTCGGCGTTGTGAAATCCGATAAATTGAGGTCTTATTGTAGTTGATGTGTTTTCTCCAAACTAAGTCACAGTATTAATTTGTGTAAAGTTTTCATCAGTTCTTAAGGTTGAATGATTTTTCAATGATCAATTGTTTGGAATAAGTAAGGACTATTTCTGCCTCATTTCAGAGCTTCAGATATGTCATTAGTTTCCCCATGCCAATGAATGATTATATGGACAAGTCAGACATAGTAGTTCCTTATCCCAAAATGCGGTTCAATTGAACTTTTTATGACTTTCAGGCGTACAAAATGGGATCAAAGCCCAAAGGTTATGCTCTCATAATAAATATCCAGAAGTTCCCCAATTTCCCGGACGAGAATCGAGCGGGATCTGAAGTTGACCTAAGGCGATTGCAGAAACTCTTCACAGAACTTGGATATGAAGTTGAAACTCATGTTGATCTGAAAGGCCATGTAAGTGTCATCAACATTCTTCTATCTTTCTCAAGGGCTGCTACAGTCAAGGAATAACTGGAAAACCTGGAAATGTCAGGAAAAATTGTCAAGTCACCTTTATTTCCCTTCTAGAATGAGTTTGACGTTTTGAATAGGGCTGTGCGAGTACTCGAATTTCGAGTCGAGTCGAGCCGAGTATCGAGTACTCGACTCGGCTCGAAAGTTAGGTTAGGTTCGAGCGAGTACTCGAACTCGGCTCGAGTGTCAACAACACGAGTTTTTTCGAGTATTTCGAGTTTTTTTGAGCCGGAAACGCTGAAAGAGTCCAACTTCCAAACATTTCAATCATACTTTAACTATTGTTAGTTTTGCCATCATTTTAAGATTGAATAACATCAGAGTCTCGTCGGCAAATTTCTACCATCCGCAGCGCCAACACGCTACCGCCCGGCGATTTCCTGCCGCGCGCGCGGTTTGTAACTACACGGAGTCATATGAGCGCATTTATGCGCGCGACAAATTTCAACCTGCGGCGGCGACCGCCGCTTGGAAAAATGAAAGTGAGCACGTGTTTTGGACCTTTTGCGCTCCAGAAAAACGGTGTCGCGGCGGCAGAAAAAAGGTGCTGCGGCTACAAAAATAGGAATCGCGCGATTCCAAAAAACGTCGCGGCGACAACTGCCGCCGGCGACACGAATTGCGTGCATAAATGGGCTCTAAAGCCTTTACTTGTGCTGCCCGAAGTTCCTTTGATGTACGCCGCGCCACGCCGCTTCTTGCCAAGTTTTGTCCTCTTTTCAAATTAAACCGCGGGAAGTTATTTTAACGCGTTACTGCCGAACATTCTGTAATTTTAGTGTAAATCCTTCCTAGTGTGTCATCGTCAATAATTATTAATATCATATTATGAGTCTTGTTTGAAATTATTTGTTGTAGAAAATAGATTATATCACGTTTTAAAACTCGAAATTACTCGAACTCGACTCGAGCTCGACTCGGCTCGAGGGTCATTTTCAAAGCTCGAAAAAGCTCGAACTCGGCTCGACTTAGTGAAAAAATACTCGAACTCGGCTCGAATCCAAAAAACCAGGCTCGCACAGCCCTAGTTTTGAACAACCAATTATGGCTGAAAATCATTTCAAATTGTGTCTTTTTAAGCATCTGGCTTATCCTTAACTGTCAGGGAATTTTACCAAAATGTGACAATGGAATCATGGAAATGTCAGGGAATTTCTTTTTCTAAATTCTGTGGCAACCCTGTCTCATCTGTGAGAATTCTAAAGATCACTGAGTCTAATGCCCCCTCACAACTTCCCTGTTGTTTTATTGAGCGGTCCCAAGTGTATTTTATTATCTGCACATGTGACCACCCATAGAAGGAGAAGTCTAAGCATTGGATGCAATTTTGGTCATGTTAAGTTGCAAAATCAGTCTTCAATGCGTCTGTTGCGCTAGTCACAGAATCGTGTTTTGATTTTTGATTCTTGTATATCATCTAAAAATAATAAAATCTGTCCAAAAAGCAACTTCCAACGTTTAATATTTACTGAGATACCGTGCTTTGAAAAGTCGGGTTTTTGACGTCATACACTGTGGTAGTGACACCCTTGGTTTCTTTCTCTTTGTTTCGATCAGTGATGCAGAGGGCGCAATGGGAAACTTCAACGACGTTAAACATAAACAAACTCAAGAAACACGCGGATTTGCACTTCAAAGATCTTGTCAGGAGATAACGCATGCGCCAGGAAGAGATTAGGTGGTCAGTCAGTTCACCTCAATTTGTTTACATTTAATGTAGTTGAAGTGTCGTGTTGCGCCCTCTGCATCACTGATCCAAAAAAAGAGGAAGGAACTAAGGGTGTCACTACCACGGTGGATGCCGTCAAAAACCTGACTTTTCAAAGCACAACATCTTTGTTAGAGTTGCTGTACGGACAGATCTCATTACTTTTAGTTAATCTTCAAGGCTCAAGCATCAAAACACGATTCTGTGACCAGCGCAACTGATCATTGTTTCTTGACCAGATTGTTGATGTCTTTCGATTAGTTTTCCTCGCATTTATGTCTCGACTAGCCCAATTGCCAGCAATCAGTACTCCTGAAGAAAGTGCTAACAGTTAAAATTGAAATTAGTTTAACGAACTTCAGAAACAGTGTGGCTCAACATGTGTTCAAGACATTTTTGATGAACTAAACAAGTTTTTGTGAGATTATGCTCGTATGAAGTATACTCAATTGTCCGTCTCTATTACTTGCAACGGATCCATTTCATCGAGAAAATTAGTTTGATGGTTTGAAATGTGAAACTTCTGTCTAACATGGCGTTTAAACATTTGGTGCGGAACTGTTTGCCAGACATACTGATATCATGGCAAGCAACCTGTAAATCTCTTTCCGCCCAGGAAAAAATCATTTTAAGTGCAGACCAAGAGGGAGGGGGTGTCCAAGAATGGGTTAAGCATTATGACCTTTCCAAGCATTTACCTGAAAAACTTTCCACCAATGCCAGATAATTTAATAATCGGTAGACTTTCGTAAGTAAAAAAATCATGTTCTGTTTTTTTGTTCCCTCTTGCCGCGTAGGATAAGAGCATTATATTATCTAATGGTGCTCAACTCAGGTGAGTTCCAGTAACATTTAAATCCAAAAATATCATTCAATGGATCATTTTAATTTAAATTGTTAAAAAATCACGGGTATATATATCCAGCCCGTTCTGCATCTGTAGCTCTCTAAAATTGATGAACTAAGAAGGTATAAGTCTGATTTGGAGCAAGCATTGGGAGACTAGTTTCAGACTCTGTATCGAAGAATTATGGAAACCAATCTATTAAACGTAAAACAATGAAGCGTTCACTCATTACAAATCGGACTTGAATCAGCAAGTCAACAATTTGCGGCCTCTTATTCAATAGTGTTATTCATTAGGAAAAAAATCGAGTGTGCCAAAGACCTATTGCCCTATTGTGTACCTATTCCCCTTCAATTTTTACCATTTGGTGGGAGATCATCTAAGAACTCGGATGCTAAATTCATGTTTGTTGCTGTTATCATTTGCACAATAGCTTGGTCAGCCTCTCTTGGATCTCAGGCTCAATTGGATTATATTTTGCAAAAGTGAACCAAGAGTGCTCAAATGTCGCTGAAATTGTGAAACTTTTTTTATTTTGCAAATATTAACATCATCCAAACAAGTTTTATTTTTACTCCCAATAAACTATAAATTCAAGACAAATATTGCCTCTGTAAATTTAATTTTTGCAAAATTTCAACAATTTTGTTGCAAAGAATGTATGTCGCACACTCCAAGCAATATTGGAATGCTTTCGGCTCCTTTTTGTAAAATGCAATCCAATTTTTGGACCGATATCCTTAGGAATGCCTCATGATAAGTTATTTTTCATGAAAGGCAATTTGAAAGGTGAATTAATCTTTGAAATTTTTATTCCAGGAAATACTACAAGTCGTAGAAAAGTTTGCAAAAGAAGAAAAACATGCTGTGGTGGACTCATGTTTGGTATTCATTATGTCTCATGGTGACACACGTGAAGAAGGAAAATACATGGAGATACAAGGCTCAGATAAAATTAGTGTCAGCTCGCTGAGACTCATAAACTGTTTTGTGTACCCTCAAAGTACAGTCTTTGGGACAGACAAACCAATTCTCTTCTTTTTCCAGGCCTGCAGGTAAGATTATTGAGGTTTGAAATATGTTTGGAATTGTGAGAAGTAGGTAGTTTGGTCCGCTGTTTAGAATAATAGGCGAGGTAAAATGGTTAAACGTCTTGACAATCAAAATAGCCTTCACCTTCCTATCTTACTCAATCCAAACAAGGAAGCAGGGAAGCTAAATGTAGAGTCTGATACAGTTACATTTAAAATCTTTCAGCTAAGTGTATCAGTGAAATTACAAGGATGGGTGTTACAATTATTGTTAATTTTACACATTTTTATCTTTTTGTATTTTGATCAATGTCTTTTTTAGAATGACTAAGGAAGCAAGCCGTTCTCTAGCAGATATGATTATATGTTGCTGTAAGCAGGAGCCGAACACTTATATATTTGTTAAAAGGTTAGTTTGAGGAACGAGCTCTCCAAGATCACATTTTCCCCGCCTCATGAGAATCTAATGTTGATCAAGAACCTTGAACACTAATTAGCGCTCGATTTACTCAGAAAAATGTATTCTATGCCCAGGAAAAGTCAAGCAACAGTCTATAATATTTCCTTCAAACCTCTATTTGTGTCCTGATCATGCATTCACCCCAATTACCAGCAAGAGTGTCTTTTTTGTTCAGGCAACAGCAGAAGTCAAAAAGAGGCACTAGCTCAAGTGATCTAGTAAAATAGGGATGAAGGATGTACATTTTATTGCAGCAACTATATCTAAGTACTGAGGGACAGAGATACTTCAGGGACGGAGTAGGAATTGGGCTATAATAAAATGGACTGGATTACCACTTGTGTGGCACTTGAATTACATAAGAAAAAAGAAGAAAAAGGGGGTTTAAAGTCATTCATGAGTCTGTGGAGGGAACAAAGCATCGGAAGTTTTGAATTTTATTCTTGATCTTCCCAGCTCACTGAAGTTGCAAAGAAAGCCGCTTTTGGCCTCCTACTACTTTTTTCCTCTCACTAAATGTCTAACTTAATGCCATTGGTGTTTTTATTTTCAGAGGCCAAAGTAAAGACTTCGGACAGCCAATTCAGTCGTCCGGAAATGTTCTTAGAAAAATGAAATTATCAACCACAGACTCAATGCATCAGCGTGGAGGATCAGAAGCCCCAAAAACTGTGCCGGAAAAAGGCAGGAAGTATGATCACATGCTGATTGTGAATGCTTGTGTACCCGGTACGCTATTTTCCAAACCATATCTTGAAGCATAAATCTCTTGGTAACAAATGTCAAAAGCAGAAGAAAAATGTCTCCTTCCGTTAAAAGCCTGCATGGAGCTCTGTTTAAGAAAGAGAATGTATTATTCATGATAGTACAAAATCAAATTTAAATAGGACTAAGGCAGTAAAAACATGAGATGAAAAACTCGGGACGTTTCAACCGCATTTGAAACTGCCAAAAAAAGAAAGAGAAGTAAAAAGAAACGAACAGAGTCTTGTCCCGCAAAACGTCCCAGGTTTTTTATTTAATGTTTTTGTCCCCTTTGTCCCATTTTAAGTTGATATCGTATTCACAACAACTGCGGTGAGGCCCTGTTTGTTTCTTCTTAATTTTTTTTTTTTTTTTTTAGCTGGTTGAAAATGCGGTTGTAACTCAGCAAAACGTCCCGGGTTTTTTATTTTATATTTTTGCGGCCTTAGTCCCATTTTCAGTTGATATTGTACCATCATTTCGGGCTGATTAAGTTGTTTTTTTAGTCATGATGCGTTACATTTAGTATTAAATTGAATATTTTTAGAAAATGTGGTCAAGTAGAGGAATTTTTTATCCTGTAACTAGTAAGTGGCCTGATGGAAGTGTAAGGTTTCCGCACTTAAATTATTTTTTCGATTACTTGAACTGTCCTACTCACTTTGATGGTTGCTCTTATGTATGTGATTTCAGGTTACGTATCAATTAGATATATTGAAAGTGGAGCATGGTTTGTCGATTGCTTGGTGAGAGTCTTCCAAGAACATGCATGGGAATTTGACATTGACACCATGCTTTCAATGGTAAGTAATATTGCTTTTCCCTAGACCTTCCCTCTTGTTTCAATCAAATGGATGTATCATCACAAAATCAAAGAAAGTTGACTGTGTGTAGTTCACAAATGTAATAAGTGCTCCGTCAGCACTTTTAATTATCTAGGATGAGATTTTGGTTACAAATTACATCATGTTTAAATTAATATTCCTGCATCCCCACCACGTAGTCAGCAACTAGGTTAGAACATGACGTTAATTTTAGAACACACTCCTACTCTGCGGTGCTAAGAAAGAACGCCGTATGAACATTCGAGAGTTGCTAAATTTCCTTTGATAAAATGTTCATTTCTGAGGAAAGTTATGAATATTTTTCCTTGAAAATTTCAGGAATCTGAGGTGAAATTGCGAGCAAAAGTATCTGAAAAATTGGAGAGAAAATAAGCATAAGTTTACCAGGAAATTCGTGTTTTATCGAAGGAAATTTGGCAATGCCTGGAGGTTGATGCAACGTTTTTCTTTAGCACGACAGCACTGAAGTTCTCCTTAATTTCGAAGCCTGAACATTCCGCTGAGTAAATTCGCCAGTGCAATTAAGGGTGCTGAATGAGTATGGACAGTAACATCACCGTGACAGATAAATGCATCGAAAGTATCGCAATGCACAATGAATCAGATTTTTGTCCAACTTTGATAGTTTGAATTATTTTTTCCAAGTAAGTCAGGTTTGTAAATTTAAGCATGGAAAAACCGTATAATGTTGCAGAATATCCTTTTCTTCTAATTTTGTAGAAGAAACTTGAGTCATCATTGTTGCTTGACATTACCTATAAATTTTTTTACCTCACATAAATAATGCGAAAACAATTTTAAACTGAAAAATGTTTCAATGGCATTCACCCATGTTCATTGCGGAAATAGAATGTAAAATAAACATAGAGTCGTAATGTAAATGGGAAAGCTGGCACCATGTTCTGCTCGACGAGTTCCGAACCTGGTGTGCGCCGAGCACGGATCACTTTTTCGATACATGTTCGATCCAAAATAGCGGTGTGCAATATGCGGTAATTCCTATCTTCTTTGTTTACATCAGATGACCAGGTACCCTTGTATCGCAAACAATCAATCATTTATTGAAAAAGTGACCCAGCCTCACACAACAGGAGCCTCAGAATTCGGGACCTGGAAAATGCCTAAAAGCGGCGCCAACTCTCCCACTTACATTACGACTCCATGTACTCTATGAAAATAAAAAATAAAAAATAAAAAAATGAAAATTTAAGATAGCAAAATATTTGGATTTTTTTTTTTTTGTGTCTTGCTGAAACTAAGTCTCAATTGACAAAATAATTCATGGATAGTTAAAACTTCCAAAAGAAAATCAGTACCAATCACAATGAACAGTATTACGAGGTTTGGACGTCGCCTTAATTCTCTACATTTTCCCTTTGCTCAGAGATAGCGAAGGAACTTTTATCATTTAATTTAATACAATTACCAATTTACCTTGCAGGTTGACTCAAAGATCCGTGGCATTGTCTCTGATCAGCATGGAATGCAAACTACCACAATCGAAAAGTGGGGTTTCACCAAGAAATTCTACTTCAACCCAGGTCTTTATGACGAGGAAGGGACCTTGAATGGCTTCACCGTGGAATTTGCCAGCCCAGTCGGTGATGTGGCTGAGGGCTCGAAAGGTGATGATGTTGGAGACGGTATGGACGAAGCAGCCGCTCGTTTGTCCGATATTGCTATTGCAATGCCTCCCAGTGAATCTCCAAATGAGCGGCAGTGGCATTCAACTCCTTTGTGACTAGCAGGGGCATTAAGCACTGTCTTCATCTTCTGTCTCATTTTCTTTCTGTTACTCTGAAACTGCAGCCAAGCCAGACAATTGTGAATTTTGAGAAATTGTGGCAACAGGTAGTGGTGAAACAAAGAAAAGATGTATCTTAATTTGCGACGCTGTGAATCTCAGCTGATCAATGATGGTTCTGTAATAGCTTTGTAAAATTATTTTTTGAAACTATTCTGGATTTCTCTCGTCTGTACAAAGAATGTATTTTGTGATTGAAGCAGTGAAGTTGTGTCTTACTCCTCTGTAACACGAGATAGCTGATATTCTTCAACGCTGCAGTTAAATTACTTCTTTTTCTAGTTTCACCATGTATTTTATCTCAAAAAGCAAATACAAGGGTCGCAAGAAACTTATTTTGCTCAAGAATCTTATGAATTGACTGCCCATTTGCATTTATTAGTTACATCTTGCAGGGATTATCCTCAAAATTAGTCTTTGAGTTTTTACCTGGAACTGCCGCTGAGATCTGTAAAGCCCTGTTTTTTAATTTTAATTTGAAAGTGAATCCATTTCAGCTTACAAGGAATGCAAAGGCATGTTAAGTATTGTTTTATCATGATGGAGAACCCTTTGTATTAACACCCAAAATCCCCCCCCCCCCCCCCCANAGAAAAAAACACTTTTTTTGTAATATTCATGTAATATCTTTTTTCCCTCTTCAAAGCATCCATGGCTCACTGGAATCATGATACATATTTTTCTTTCTACTCTATTTTACTCGGTGTATTCATTATTTCACACTTGGGCAGAATAATGAATAACTTGTTCAGTCAAAAAAACATTAACAACTTATGTAGGGAAAGGCTAAAAAAACTGAAGGCAACAAATGAAATAAAAAACTGGGAATTTTCAAAATATTGTGATTTGATTTTCAAGCTCCAAAATTATGTAGGAGAAAAATGTGGAAAATAAATAATTAATTTACTGTTATTACAAAACCGAGACTGATTTCTAAGTAAATAGACCCTATTCAGTGCAGCAAAAATCTAGCCACGTAGAGGCAAAAACTTTCTAATAATTGAAAAAAATTCTAATCACCAGCTCCAGAAAAAATTGATAAGATCCTGGTTTTTCATCTTATTTGCCGTATTTTGTTTTTTCCTGCCTCTCCTTGAATTAAGCTATCATTTACTCTGTGGTTTTTTTGCCGAGATTTAAGTGTTCAAAGTAAACTCCATTTATGAAATGTTAAATTAAACCCAAATTTCCACTCACATCTTATCCGCATGCTTTTTTCTTGTTAAAGTCAAAATGGATTCACCTCAGAAAAGTTAAATTCTCATCTTAGTCTCTCCTAAAATTCAAACCAAGAGTGAAAATTTCAAGAGCACAAGTGCATTTCACCTTTAAAAATTGCTCAATTAGGCAATTGCACCATTCTACACTTAAAGTTTGCATTTATACTGTTATTTGCCTTGTTTATCTCGAAATGCTCTTGGTTTCATCCCAATTTATTTTTAAGTAACAATATGTTAGCTCCTAAAGGCATGTGTTGATAGGGATGTCTCAAAATTTCTGATCATTCCATTATTTCAACAGTCTAGTATTGCTAAAATTTGCATGCGAAATTTCGGTAATTTTCCTTGTTAATGTACTGACTTGATGGTCACTTCATTCTTGCGATATTCGGCACATTGAGTTGCAATAATCAGGCTATTGATTTGCCAATGGTTGAAACCAATACAACGGAACATAGCCTCATATCCAAATTTTAGAGACCAGTATGTGAAGTTAATTGTGTTAATTTATCACAATTTAGTCATTGACAAATCATGATTCCATTAATAACTCATTAAACACAAGAAATTTTTATTGTAAGGAACAAATGGCTCAAATCAGATACAATGTTATGTGTCAGTTTACAGTAGAACCTTCAAACTGCAATATGAAACTATGGTGTAGCTACATATCAGTCTGCATCAAGAAAGCCTGCCGAAATTTCCTGCTGTTTTTTTTTTTTTTTTTTTAAGTAATATAATGGCAGTAGTTATTTTGAGATAAAACATTTTTGACTCATTTTTCGTGAATAAGACAATGATTTGATGATCTTTTGATTAGATCTCCTTAAGTTTGAAAATTTTAGCCGAATTTGTTGTAAACGTTATACCCTGAATAAAAAGGCTCTTAACTTCAAGATTGAAACTATTCTCGAAATCCACAATGCAATGTTTGCATCTGAAAATCAAGATTTTTAAAATCCTTTCTATCTTAATATTGATTTTATTTTCTAATTCTGCTTTTTGGGGGAATTGGATTTTCTGGTTTTGATCGGCTTTTGATCAATTTGGAAGGGAAATTTTTTTTTTAATTTTGTAGGTGTAAACTTTTTTTTTACTTTGTCCATAAATATTGATTGCCTTCTTGCAATATTTTATTTTACCGAATCTAACGTTTTCAAGTCTAAATTGTTTCTAAGAATTCCAAGTCTTATGACTTGCCTAGCAGCTGCGTCTGCGCTCATTCTGATGAAGTTAAGGCCCTTTTTGTTCTAATGAATCACAATAATGTGAATTTATGTATTATCTGTGATAACATAATTAATTTTTTATAGCCAAGAATTATCAAACTTTCCGGATTCATTTATTCAGTTCTGTGAATGAGAGCTTAATCTTGGTCCATTCAACTCAAATTTCACAATTTCCCCCCAGCTCATGTTAGTTTTTTCTCTTTCTTGTTTGAAAGGGCAGCGAAGCCGATTCTGAGCTCCCTTCAAAATGTCCACTCTACCCATCATAAACGGACTGTATATCCTTTGTTTTGTGTGAAACTTACATACCCGCATTTACTACCTTCATTGCATTTTTTGCAATTTTTACTGTATGATCTGCTCTCTTATCATTCTGTAGGAGAATCTGCTACCATATATACCATGCATTTTATGCATGTTTTTACTCATTTAGAAGTGCGTAGAACTAATTTGTAGAGGCAAAGGTCCATAATCTTTCTTTGCAGTAGCTATTGAGAGCCTTTTTTTCATAGCAGGAACCCCTCTTTTTTTTTTAAATGGTCAGTTCAGACAAAAATTGTCAACATTTTTAACCTTCGTTTAGTTTCTTCACGATGGTTGCTAAAATTACAATTTTTTCTTCTCTCATTTTTTGGAAGTATTTTCCCAGGTCATGGCAAAGGATGTGTAGAAGTAAATGCCTTCTCACAAAGTCTCCCCTAACCATAAATGCTCTCCCTGAAGAGAGTGACCATATTCTCTTTTACAGAACATATTTTTATGCTCTCTGCTTTGAATCGTAAGCTTTTCCACTATTTGTAGTCAAGCGCACGAAAGTTTTGTCTCCCAGAATCCTCCAACTTCATTCAGTCGAACTTTATCAAATTGCATGACATGTCCCTTGTACTAAAATTCAGAACCAACTTTTCAAATTCAATACATTCGTTGATATTATTTTTAGCTTCAGACATTTCAATTCAATTAAGGGAAGAATTCGTCATCTTTATCTCTTTTCTTTGCTGCAGAACATTCTAATCCCACTCTCTCACGTCAATCTACTCAGCCATCTTGCAAGTAAGGGCCGTTCATAAATTGCGTAATGCTTCAGGGTGGGGGGGGTCTAAAAGAGCGTTACGCCATTTTGTTTTCATGTGTGAAAGGATAGGGACCTACGTCTCAACAACGTTAAGAGGGGGAGGGCGGGTCTAAAATGCCGAAAAAGTGCTTTACATACTTTATGGACGGCCCATTAGAAGTTCATTGGAAAAAGTGTACATTGTAATTTATTTTATTTTATGTTAATGCATCATTGTATTTTGTTTTTATCAATTTCACGGACAGGGACGCCATTTGGAGGAAGACTGCTGTGTTAAGGAGAAACGCCGTAAGAGCCTTCAGATGTAGCCATATTTCCTTCCATGAAAAATAAATTTGCAGGAATAATTCTGAATACTTTTCTTCCAATTTCTCAGTCAGTTTTGTTCGCAATTTAATCTATAACATCTGAAAATTTTAATGGAAAGTGTACATAACTTTCTTCATAGGAGAACATTTTATCAGGGGTGATCTGGCAACGTCTGGAGGCTCATAAGGTGCCTCTTCTGGCACACTAAGGATCTTAGTGCGCCAGAAGAGGCAGGCAAAGCATTTGCTCGGTCTTGCATTTTGGACTCAGGCCGCAGAAAACTGATTGGCTTGGCTTGGCACCAAAAAAATTAAGGAATGTGGGAAAATCGTTGAGAAATTGAGAGCACATGCTTTTCTAAAGTTAGGGTAGATTATTTGATGATTTTGCTTGATTGGGGGAAAATCTTGTCACTTTTTGTCTGGCCCTGCAAAAATCTGAAATGGTGCCTCTGTTCATCTATTTTCTTTGTCCGTGGCCTAGCTTATGTATCAATTTTTAACCCCTGTGGATCAACTCATTTTTCCATTTCTACTTTTTTATCAATTCTTGGTTTCTTCAGAAAAAATTGAGTTAGAAATGAAAACTGATTCACGTTGTCGCAGTTGTGCGTTCAGCTTTAGATTCAAAGAAGCCCCCTTGGAAACGTTTAATAAGGATCAAAGCTTATTTGCTTTTTGCAAAATTGAGTTGGGTTTCACAGCCATTGTTTTTTCCTTCCTGTAAATTTTTTTTACTCAAGTCCTCGTTTTTAGAATAATTTTAAAAGTTTTTAAAGTTTTATGTATGTTATTTCCTGTATCCTAAGGAAGATCTATTATATTTTTCTCTCCAGTTTTTGCAATCGGCAAACGGCCTACAAATTTCACCCGCAATCATCGGTGCAATTTATCACAGATTTGTTTCTATGAAAACTGAATACCATCCAAATTTCAAATGCCTAGGCTGATAGTCAGATTTGAAAAGTATACAAAGTTTTGTATGTTTTTACTAAGAGTTCTCGAACTCTCAATATCTTGAAAGTAAAAATTCATCAAACTACGAATTACTATTGTATGTATTTTCCTTTTCAAAATGATCCTCTTTTACTTTTCAACTTCAAAATTGTAAAAACTCAGTATTTTAAAAAATGCTGTATATTTTGAAATGAGTGTTCATCTGTGGGCTAAAAATCATCACAGTAATCATAAGATGATAGTTTGAAAAATACTTATTGTCCATGAAGACAATAAATTATTTTTTCTAAAATTGGCAGCGAAGTCAGACTTTCAATCGGAGTGAGGACATTTGACACTGTGCCTAGACATTTGACAAAGTGCCTGATTCGATTTTTTGCCTGCGACATTTATAAACACATATTTTTAAATGTAACTTCAATTTTGGTGCCTGCATTTTTTTGAAGTTCTATATCAAAATTGATAGTGCTAGTTTTATTTCTTGTAGTAATTGTGCAAAAATGATGTTTGTTTAATTTTAGTTTGATCTCTTTCTCCTTAAATATTGTTCAAGAACATGTGTTTAGGAAATTATTTCATAGCTCTCAATCAGGATCGAGCATGTAAAATGATAATTCATACATTCCTTCCGGTGACTAAATAGCACCATATTTAGTCATCAGGTGCTCAAAATATGTAGTTGTAAATCATCGAGACTTATGCTAGGAGTTTTTATCACTTTTGCACTTAAGTGTACGAGGGTAGTGGCTGCGGCAATTTCTCCCCTTCAGCATGTAGAACAATGTAAAGAAGTGAA